GCAAAGTTTGTCATTTCTAATCCAAGCAAGGCACTGAATAGGGCAGGGCACTTTGCTTATCTCAGTTAAATTTGAAGAAAGTTTGAAGCTTAAATTGAAGGGGTTTAGTTGCTCGAGGCAGACATAGTTTTAATTGTAAACTGCTTTAACATGAAAAAAAAAATCCATCTGATTTAAGTGGTAAACTTTAAGTGGTGTCTTTAAGTGAAATCTACTTTCTTCCTTGGCCAATAAACTCTATTTGGTCCTTGTGTTTCTTTATCCCTGTCACCTTTCCTTATTACCCCCCACTACCCTTTCTTTTTTCTTTTTTCTTTTTTTTTTTTTGCCTAGATTTTTTAATTTCCTTTTTCCACACTCCTCTTTGGAGGACATAGTTGCTCTTGGAGAAGCACATGAAACAACATGGTTATATGAAAGGTCTCTGACCCTTGAACACCGTGGAATTGGTTTCACTCATCATTGTTTGATCTTGGATTGGGCACGACCCTGAAGTGAAATTGCTTTGGCCAAAGTTGAGGATGGGTGGGAGTTAAACCTTGAAAAGCAAATAGAACGGAGGACAAGTAACAGCTGGAACAACCACCAAGGCAATCGCCTTTGCCCTGGCTTGAACCAAACAGAATAAAATATCCCAGGGAACAAAAAATGGGAACTAGAATAGGATTTCTGATGCTTAGATTGACACCCACCCCCTTAAACCCCTGCCCCACAGTAGCCGAAACTTTTAAATATATTTTCCCATCCCCACCCTGCCAATATTCCAGCAATGCAAGCCAAGTTCAACAATTTAGCATGCAAATGCCAAGGTTCCTCTAGAAAAAGAGTCTGATCCCCAGATTAAAGGGAAATCATTTGTGTGTGTGGATCAATGGGCTCTAGATTATATATGAAGCCAAACTCTAATCCTCTGCAAATCGCAAGAGAGAGAACGCTACCTTTTTATATCACTGCATAGCGATTAGTTTCCTCCCTAGGAAGTAGTAGAAAGACATTTTTTTTTTTTTTTAAAAGGCAACTGTTCGGAATATTTTCAGTACCAAATAGCAGTGGTGGCAAAAGAAATCTTATTTTAATTAGGGAATTGCCATTTCCCCAGTGAGAACAGTAGATATTTGTCACTTTTTTATAAGTGTTTAATATTTGTTTTTTAAGAAACTAAAAAAGCAATTCCAATAAGTCTGATTATTCCAGCACTGACAGCAGGAACAGCTCTGAGGCAGTTATAATAACCTTGCACACTACTTGAAACTAAAGAAGGTGAGAGAAAATTTAAATTGTATGGTAGGAAATTAGGTCAGCCCTCTGCTCAGTAGAGTAATGCTTTAATTTCTTCTTATTGACAAGTAGGTGTTGCTGGGGTCTTTTGTCATAGTCAATGATTTTATATTTTAATTTGCATCAGGTTCCTATCACAGTCTTGAATAAAAGGGGGAAAAAGAGATTATCGTGGTTTGTACAAATAAAAAAAAGAAGAGAAATCTTAGTTTGAAGACTGCTCAGAGAGGCTTATCTGATGCCAGGCTTTGGAACCAGCAGGGCCAAAATCAATAACATTTTTTTTTAAGATTTAGAGAGCTTTTTAAAGATTATTTATGAAGCCGATCTCTGTGTTAATAATGTGCATACAGACTTGTGATCTATGTGGAACATTACTGTTCTCAGGAAGGCAGAACAAAGATGTACCCATTAATGTGTGAACAGGTTTCAGAATTTCCTTTACGGTTGGACATGGTAGATGGGGAGTGTGTTTCGGATGTGGAGAGGGAAGTGCAGAAAAGAGACAATTACCAAAAAACAACCAGTTACCACCTACCCTTCCAATCTCACCTCCCTAGCACAGCACATTTTGCTGTATTGTCTGCATATTCCAGGTAAGTGTGAGCTGCTTCTCATGGAGTTACTGAGAATTCTCTACTGTTTTTGAAGACGGGCACAGAGTAAGAGACACAGCTATAAAAATCTAAGGTGATCACAGACAAAATTGGTTTGTCCTGCAAAATAGAATATAGATATGAATTATGCAAATTTGTGCTTACTGTTTCATCCAGTCCATATTTATCTTTCCTATCTATTTTGGGGGAGGGCATTAAATGCATCCCAGTAGGGCTTTGGATTCATCATAGGTAGAAAATACTGACATACAGTGAAGTGACTATTTGGTGCATCATATAGTTACCAAAAAATCTGAAGCTATGTTGCCAAGCATTTTTAGCATTAAATGATTACAAGATTATTTTTCTAGTTTTGAGGATTAGTCACACCCTTTTATTCTTTTCTTCTTTGCACTTTTACTCACTTCTTTTGCTTAGTACTGGTTTGCAATTGAAGTGAAACTAAGACTACAAAGGTGAAATCTAAATCTGTTTTCTGGTTACTTTGCATTGCTTAAAAATAAAAGGTTTGTGTGTTGGAGGGGAAAAAGGTTGACTTCTGGAATTGTTTGAGGAGCTCATTTATCTATGTTATTCAAGTCTCCCAGAACTGCAGGAGATTGAGAGAGTAGTACCTATCAAGAACTGGTATCTTAACTCACAAATGGGGGATGGAATTGAGGGCTTAGAATTTCTTCTGTCTTCTAATAAAGGAAATTTCAGTTTTGCTAAGGACTGCTGGATTAAAAATAATTTTTAAAACCTTTTCGATAATTTTTAATTTTCAAAATAAATTCCTTAAAAAGGTAGAAATGTGGATATGTCAACAGTCATGATATTTATTTTGGAGGTAGGGAGCTACCTGGAAGCTCTCATTCATTCTACGTGGGATTCTGTAAATTGTATGCACCATTTCTCTTTCCTTTTAGAATTGCATTTGGTACAAATTTATTTCTTGCCCATGTTCCTCCAATTTGAAGTCCATTCCAGATGGTGGCTTTTCAGGGTAGTTCTGTCTGTGTCTGATCAGGTTTATCAGCTCAGCCAAATGTTTTTCTGCAGATCTATTGAAGATGCTACAGTCCTAACAAATGTCCTGGTGCCTAGTTGAGGGCCTGTACATATAAGCACACGTGTGTTTCCCCTCTTCTCCCTTCCTCTCTTCCTGGTGCCTTTGGAAATCTGGATGGCCTTTGGAAATAGGGGAGGCTTGAAGGCAGAGTGATCTCAATAAAGGGTAACCTTTCCTTGCTCTGCACTTGTGTAAGGAATTGGTACACAATTACTTTCTGAGCTAAAAAATCCCTGGGAACAAGCACCACTTTTTCCATGAAGCTGCAAGCTGCAGCCTCCTTGTGCTGTGCATATAAAGTACCAGCCCCGCCCTCCCCTTCTCCATATCATAAATCGATTTGGTCATGGGGTTTCCTAAAACCCCCTAAAGTGTAGAGACCACGTCTTCTGCTCTTCTTGCTCTTTGAGACTTGAATGGCACTTCGATACATTCCCTCAACTGGCAAGCCCTTCTTGCCCTTCTCAAATGTGAATTGCCTCTGTGAAAAAGTAAAACAGAAATGAACATATTTGGAAGAGAGTGAAACAACACTTCACAAGTGAACATTTTCTTGCAAATTGATTTCAGTAGCCTTCACTGTTCCGTCCTTGAATGGTAAATATAACAGGGCTGGTCTTTGAAGTTGTATACTTTGGGTAATTTCCATATGTCTTTGTGAGATTCATGATTATAATTTATCAAACCACTTTAAATGTTTCTCCTTTTTACTTATTTTTTAAAACATAGGTGATAATTTGTTGAGTGTTGGTTTTGCCCATGAGGAAAAGTGTTTCTTAGGCTCGACTGACTTAACTGCATTTGGATCCACATCTATATTGTAATCAACTACAAAAGGTTTGCTTTTAATGGATGATAATTTGGGGCCCACATAACAAAAGCGACCACATATTGAGCACCAAAAGGTGCAGGTCACTTTCCTATAGCAACTGATCATTTAACTCTCTAAGGCGAGCAGGCTTGCCCTAAATTTCCCAGCCAGTGGAGCACAGAGCGATAAAATTCAAAACATACTGAGCCCAATTGACGTTGTTGCCTCTCCAAACTCTTCTTTCTGTGTGAGGCCTGTGTACTTTCTGGTCCCCTTGAAGTACCCAAATTTAAGCTATTTCTTTTCTTTCCATCCCCACCCTTCCCCCAAAGAGATTATGAATAGGCTGTACATATGAATACCAAAATATCTTTCAGGACTGCATTTTACTGTATGAAAGCCTGTCATGTAATCCCTGAAAACTGGAAATACGATGCTATGGTGATTTATGTAGATGGGCCAAAGTAAGGAAAAGTATATGTAGTTATCTCTCCAGGGTTTATTCATGTAATTGAATGAGGAACAAAGGTGTTTTGTTCTTTTTGTGGCTGGAGCTGATAGCCGGGCAACCACACTTCAAGAAATGGAAGAGAACTGTAAGTGCTTCATCCAGGACCTAGTAAATATAGGAAGAGGTGTAGTGGTGTATAGAGTACTGAGTTTAAAAAAAATTCTAAAAGTAATGGAAAGAGGGAAGGTATGATATATTAGTCAGGTGCTGGATATACGTTAAGCTGAAATGAAATACAGGTATCACGGATATGAGATCTGGATGTGTAGAGGAAAGAGTAATGGAAAAGTGTCAGGGCAGTGAAAGCAAATGAGAAGTGAGGTGATTTATATTTATTGAACTAATGTTCGGTATCTCTTTGACAGAGTTGAATAACAGTCAATTATCAGTGTCCTTTCTGCATGTTCCACATTGGAGAGGTGAAGAAATCCTGAGATTCGATTATTGATTACATAACAAGGTCAATTTATTATAACAGAAGTGCAGTCAATTTGTGGGTGCAAAAAAGAAACACATTCCGGGATGAAATAATGTTCAGATTGCTTTTTTATTTTTTTATTTTTTGAAAGCAAAGACGGGGACCTTTCTGCTTGTAAGATAAACATTCTTTACTACACTATGGAAGTCCTTTGACGTAAAGATGCCTGATGATTCAAAAGCAAATCATGTTTTTCCATTTACTTTACTACTGATTTAAAATTCTAAAGTCTTTCTTTATATTTTGTGTTTTAGCCACGAGACCCAAACAACTTGCTGGGACCATCCCAAAATGACAGAGCTCTACCAGTCTTTAGGTAAGGACATGGCCATGTTTCCTCCAAGTTAGATGACAGATGGCCTTTTAGGATACAGTAGTTTGTGGTGTGCAAGTCATTTGTTGTATAAATATATCACTAGATTGTTTCAAAGGTGAAAACAATGGCATCTTCCTATCCAAAATTGACAATAAGCTTTCTTTTTATTTCAGAGGTTCCTAAAAATAAGTTTTAAAATTTCATTGATTCCTGAAAATTCAGTATACCTGAGAAGGCCTAAAGGTCTTTGTAGTTTTCTTTGCTGCCTAAAAGGATGGGAAAACACTTGCAATTTATGGCAGGTTTTTCTCCCCCAAGAAGAAAGAAAACTGTTTCAAGTTGTTCTTATTGATTTCTTCTGTGTGAAATCAAGACAACACTTGCCAAACCACAAATGTGTGTAAAGGAATTTTCTGCCATCTTTCCAAAGTCCTGGCAGGTCATCAGTGTGAACATTTCAATGATTTCTCTATTATGGCTTATTGTGTGTTTGTGTGAGAGCCTGACAGGTTTGTTTGTTTTTTTCTCATAACTTGGAATTTTTTTCTTTTCTTTTTTTTTTCTAGCCACTAGACCACCAGGGAATAATTTGGAATTTTTTTAACAGGTACAGAGCATAAAAATAAGGGGAAAACACCAATCTTTTTTAATAATTCACAAACATCAAGTCTGTTGTTTTAGATCTGCAGCAAATAATCTGAAATGAATTCTCTTATGTTGTGGCTTGTTTAGTTTTTTTAATCAAAAAAGTTAATCATGTCTTCTCTACGTGGTTTTTTTTTTCTTTCTTTTGAGACAGAGTCTTGCTCTGTTGCCCTGGCTAGAGTGCAGTGGCATCATCATAGCTCACTGCAACCCCAAACTCTTTGGCTCAAGCAATCCTTCTGCCTCAGCCTCCCAAGTAGCTGGGACTGCAGGCGCACGCCACAACGCCTGGCTAATTTTTCTATTTCTTGTAGAGACGGGGTCTCACTCTTGCTCAGGCTTGTCTTGAACTCCTGAGCTCAAGCGATCCTCCTGCCTCAGCCTCCAGGAGTGTTAGGATTACAGATGTGAGCCACCGCGCCCAGCTTTCTCTATTTTTTTAAGTCTGAATTTTTCTAAATGGACATCTTTATAGACTAAAATGCATGAGGTGATCGCTTTGGATTTAAATTAAGTAATAAAGCCCATGGGAATCAGTGTACTTCAACATAAATTCTGTTTATGTGTATATATGTGGTGTGCTTGTCTGTAAATGTGTGTGTATAGCTATCACTGCTTTTCTGTCACAGGTTCTCATTGGTTAATCAACTGCAGCTACAGAGACACTAAGGAATAGGGGAGGAGATATTAGCCAAAAAAATGGTTTTGTTAAACTTCTTTTCTAATTATAAATAATCTAATTTTTTTCTAGAAAACCTGAAAAATACACATAAAAAGCATGCAAAAGAAAAAAATGTCAATTATAATTCTACTACTCACAGATAGCCAATACATTTCAAGTAATGTCATTTCAGTCTAGCAGTAAGTGTGTAAACTTGTTAAAATTTAAATAAAATCAAGATCAGCTAATCTTCCAGTGCTACGTTTCCAGCCGCTACACAATGTTTTTGGCTTATACTGCTGTACTGTTTATAGCACAGGTGGAAAACTTGAATGATTATCTTTTGGCAAATGAGAGAATGAAGGCTTCATCTGAAGTAGGCAGCAGCTATCTTGGGCAAGCTGGTCTTCCTAGCCAATACTCTCAGGACCTCTGATTTTTCTAGAGAAACTAGAAATCTGTCATCAAAGAGCTGATTTAAAGTTGTCTTTCGGCCTCTTGATTATAACCTGTGGTTTACACAGACTGAACCCAATCATAACTTTTTCCACTCTAATCACAGTGATCTCTAGTTGTAATATTTTACTTTTATTGATTGATTGATTGATTGATTGAGACAGAGTCTTGCTCTGTTGCCTGGGCTAGAGTGCAGTGGCATTAGCCTAGCTCACTGCAACCTCAAACTCCTGGTCTCAAGCAATCCTCCTGCCTGAGCCTCTTGAGTAGCTGGGACTACAGGCACATACCACTACACCCAGCTAATATTTTCTATATACTCAGCTAATTTTTTCTATTTTTAGTAGAGACAGGGTCTTGCTCTTGCTCAGGCTGGTCTTGAACTCCTGACCTCAAGTGATCCTCCTGGCCTCAGCCTCCCAGAGTGTTAGGATTATAGGTGTGAGCCACCACGTCCAGCCTTTACTTTTATTTTAAAACAAGAATTATACTTTTTCATATTTTTTAAAGTTTGAAAATATAGACAATTTGACAAAAAAGGAGAAAAGATAAATCGTAATCCACCTTAGAGTTAATTAATACATAATAATCTAGTGGATATCGTCAAAAATTTCTATACATACATTTTTATAAAAGTTAAATCATGCTGTTTTATAACCTGCTTTTTTTCACCTAAAAGTATTATACCATGGTCATATTTCTGGTTCATTGTATAGTATTCTCTACCACCTACTTTAAATTACTCTCTAATGAGAAATTTCTAAACATGTTTGATAAAAAGCTAATTATGGACTATCAATGAATAGATGTTTACAACTTCAATAGGAATTAAATGTACACTTTCTAAAATTTTCCCAGTAGTTTGTGTGTTGCGGTAAACTCAAAACAGGTTATCTGTCATGGCTTGAGACATTGGGCATCACTGGATTTTGAAAGATAATGGAATTTTACAGTCGCAGGGGATTTTAGAGCTCATTTATTGTAAACTTTCTCTTTTATTAAATCAACTTTATTGAGGTATAATTTGCATATAATAAAATATACCCATCATAAAGGTTTGATCAACTCCAACCCCTTTTGAAATTCTGTTTCTTGTTAGCCCAATAACAAACATCTTGCAAGTGAAGTAGGTATAGAAATTTGCTGTTCAGCTTTCAGAACTAATATTTCCAGTAATTTTGTTATAATCAAACATTTCTTAGGCTAACTTTTATCCAAATGATAACTCATCAAATAACATCTCCCATTTATTGGGGGGCCTAACTATATGTGCTGCACATGGGACATGCTAGTAACTAACCTGCATGGTGGATGGTATCAACATCCTCATTTCACAGGACAGTGAAATCAGGTTCAGAAAGGTATTAATCAGGGCTACACTGGGATTTATTCCGGGTCTTCTGTTAGTATTTTCACAGATCTCATTGATTTTATTCACTTGGTTAAGTATGTCCATGTTGGTTACTACATACCTGCTATAATTAGGTACAAATTGACAGTTTTACCTATGGATGGAAAGTCACTTGAATGGTTATTTCTGGAAGAAACCATGGTATTTCTGGAAATGGTGTGATGGGTTCCTAAACTGTGGGCACTGTTGCCCAGCACATACGGAGTGATTGATTTAGTTTGTTATGTGACTACATCCCTGAGGTGACCTTAACTGGCTTAACTACCAGCATCACCTTCCCTTCCCCCAGATTATAGTGTTTCAGAGTTGACATATAAGTATAACATACTAAAAAGAAACCTTTTATTTCTTCTTAATATTTTCTTCTTCAAGAGACATCCCTTTAGGTCCAAGTTGCTATTTTAAGCTGGATGAAATGGTTGGAAGCCTTCAACTACACTCAATTCATGAAAGGTATCATGAAAGCAGAAATGATGTAGGGGTCTGATGTGTCAAATGTTTGAGACCATATCTATCCTCCTCTTCTAATAGAACTTGAACCTGACTTCTGTGACCGTGTGCCGAAAATATCCAGATGTAGCTTATCCCCTCTGCCCCGCCCCCACCACAGACATGTCTCTGCTATAGAAGCTACAGTAGTTCACGGCATGCGTGAAATGTTATACATTCCTAAATATGCTTACTTCTAGGGAGGATTCCATTCTCTAATTTGCCAAAATCCCTAACAGCCTGTTTAACAAATGTTTATGTTACCTGCCTCACCGCCCAAAGCATTCAGGTGTTCTCCTGCACCCAGGGCCTGAACAACATAATATAAGCCAAAAGCATTTTTTAAGAACTGAACAAATAGCACTTGGACATTAACTGATGAAAGGATATAATATTAATTGAAATATTAATATCAAAATCTCCAAATAATAAATTCTTGGTGTTTCTCATTTTTTCACTGACTTTCTACAATTAATTTATATTATTTACAATTAGATATTTAGTAAAAAAGTTTCATCAGTACCCCCATCCCGTTCCTTAGTGTGCTACATCTGCAATTCATTAACCAGTGGGAACCAATGACAGAAAACCAGCAATAGCCCCCCCCCCCATACCTATATGGAATCAGGTTAAGTACTCTGATTCTCATGGACTTTGGTAACTTTAAGCACAAGATCATCTCATGCATTTGAAGTCTCTAAATATGTCCAGTTACAAAAAAAAAAAGTGGACTTAGAAATTTTAGTGGTAGAAAGAGAAAACAGGACTGACTTTTTTGGTTTAAAAAAAAAAAGCAACAAAAACCATTGTAAAGGGATCAATTTCAGATTATTCCCAACAGATATAAAATGGCTTTTTAGAATGGGATTTCCTCAAATGTTACAAATATTGGTGTTTTCTCCTTATTTTAAGGCTGTGTATATGTACAAAAAAATTCCAAGTTATGAGGGAAAATGTCAGTCTCCCATACAAACAAAGCAAGACATAGTCAATAAATAATTTAAATGTTCATTATGATAACTGGACAGTCCGGAATTTGAGTCTACAGAAAATTTTTTACACCTCATTAATGGTTTGGCAAAAGCATCATCTTGGATTTTAGTGGGTAAGAAATCACTAATAACAACTTGGAAAACAGTTTTCTTTCAGTGTTTCTTTGACAACCCCCAACAATCATAGAATAGTAGTGGAGATTAGTAGTGGGGTGAGTAGGATATAAAAAAGTGTCCATATCTGTTTTTTGTAGGCCTTGGTATCTTTTAAAATAAGGGTACTGGACAAAACTGTCTAAGAATTTTGTTTTTCTCTTACTTTGGGCTACGTGTGGGGCAGACTGTT